AACCGACTCCAGCGAAATTTTCCTCCTCCTTCCCTCAACCACTCTCCCTCATGCAATTTCCAGGCAAAAGAAACTTAAATTTATCCGCATTCTCCAATAGATAAGCCGGCAAATGCACGGCAGAATACGAATGTGGGATGGGCCCCATTTTACCTATAATCTCCTTAAATGTGTATTCCTCAGGCAGCATATCGAACAAATCAGCACCTTTACAAATAACTCTCTGTATCCTCTTCGGGCTCAGAAAATGCGAAAACCGAACCCGATCCACATGGCTATAAGCTTTCATCTTGAACACAAACTCGCTTATCCTCCTAAAACAAAAGCTGCAGTGCCAGCCCGCATCTGCCAAAATCACGTCCGATTGCCGATAATGCGCGTATTTCGTCTTTCCCGACTGATAAACATGTACCGAGGCCCGCCAGCTGTTATTATCGAGCAAGAACTCGAACGAATACAAATAGTTTTTCAAACGGAGATGCAAAACGGGAGGAATCCCATCACACCACCTCAGTAGATTAATCGTGTGCCTGCTCGGGATTTCGTCAACATCCGACATTATCAACAAGTCATCATCTTGAATCCCGGCCTGTTTGAGTAAATAATCCAACGCAATCCTTTGATAAGCTTCTTCAACAAACGGGTTTTCTCCCCGTTTGAATCTCCCAGGCACTTGGCCATAAGTCAAACGGGCCTCGACAAAATCAAACTGGGCCCGCGCAGAGGAGAAGACCATGGGCTTCGGGAGGCCCGTGAATGTCGAGTTGGACTCGAGGAGAACGAATTCGGTGACATAAGGGTACAACTCTTTCCAGCGTAATTTGAGAATGTCGAGCTCGTTGCTGAATAAAACGGCATCATATACTCGTCTGGGGTACTCGCGTAGGCCCCACCCATGAAGTTTGCATAGATTCTCCATTGACACGTTTTCGTGATAGTAGTGAGGGATTTCGATGAAGGGTTTTGGAGGGGACTCCCATAAGGGGCGGAGGAAGTAAGTGATTTTCTGGCCGTGCATGTAAATTAGGAAAACGCATGATGGAACTAGCATGAATAGAAAGAGGTATGCTTTTATATCGAGCCCACGTAAGAAGCATTTCAACCGAGACATGCTAAGGGGTCGGCTAGAATCCTGCAGTGAGAGGAATAATATAATATAGGAGTGAGATAAAAAAAGTGTAAACGTAAAAAAATTTGATGTATGTATATTTATGATTTTTTTTTGGGGGCAGGACTTTTGTAGGCCTCATAATGTAATGAGTATCTGGAGCTTAGGAAGGTTGTTTAGAGTTTACATATCCAAATGAAAACAGGACGAGACTCCAATGAGCTAGAGGATTATTTTGATTTAGAAATCTAGACACCAAACAGCAGAAAATGATTCATCAGGACAAATTCAAAGAGCAAAAATGATTTAAAGGATTAAGCGGAAAGTGAAGAACTAGTGGATCTTAAATTATCACAAAATACCATAAAGGTGGGAGTTTGATCTGAACCTAAGCAAAACACAGAACTGTAACCATAAATGCTC